CCCCAAAACCCCAAAACCCCAAAACCCCAAAACCCCAGATTTCTTAAGAAGAATTAAATTTTAACAATCAGAATGAAAGATTTTAAATTGATTCTTGCATTGATGTCAATTCTTACTGTGAGCGTCTTCGCTTACAGTAGAAATGAAAGAATTGTCAATGGAGAAGAGCTTAAGGAACTACTAATTGACAATAACCAAAATATTATCACTACTGTTTGGTTTAAGAATGATAAATTCAACAATGAACACAACAAGAGAAATCTAATCGTTGCAGGAAGTATCAAGAAATTGCTTTCAAAGTGTCATCCAGATGCTATTTACACACAAGCTGACCTCTCAGACTACAATTCAGATAAGCAAGGATTCGAAAGGGTTGCTCAGGAGTGGAACTTGAACACAAATGAGCTTGATGATGGCCCAATGGTCATGGTGATGTACCAACAGAATGGAGAAATGCACTGGGCTTCTTACGACACCCTCCTGATTAAACTAGGTAAAACCTCCTCCTTGTTATGCTTTAGTTCAAGCGGTTGATAGAGACATAAGAAACGAAGAGATCACTAGTTTTGGAAAAAGACCCCAACAATGCAGAGTAAGCCTGGATTATGCTGCTTTGGATGAATACTCCAAAAACAATCCATGGAGTAGATACTCTGGACCTGTAAACCCAACCTCTAGGTACCCGTCTGATCCATATGCGAGAAACGGAGGCTCCTCAGGAGGTTACAGTGGAGGAAGCCAAAATTATAACGGTGGAAATTCATATAGTTCTAACGGAGGATATTCGAATGGGGGTTATGGTTCTTCAGATTATGGAAGTTCAGGATCAGGAAGTTATGGATCCTCAGGAAGCGGATCATCAGGTTCAAATTATGGATCAAGCAGTGGTACAAGTGGTAGCTCTTCTGGAAGTGGTACTTCAGGAAGCGGAACTTCAGGAAGCGGAACTTCAGGAAGCGGAACCTCTGGAAGCGGAACCTCTGGAAGTGGAACCTCTGGAAGTGGAACCTCTGGAAGTGGAACCTCTGGAAGTGGAACATCTGGAAGTGGAACATCTGGAAGTGGAACCTCAGGAAGTGGAACCTCAGGAAGCAGTACTTCAGGAAGCAGTACTTCAGGAAGCGGAACTTCAGGAAGTGGAACTTCAGGAGATAGTACCTCTGGAAGCGGAACATCTGGCTCTTCAGACTCTGGTAGTGGCTCTTCAGGATCATCAACCTCAGGAAGCTCCTCAACTAGCTCTGGAGGTAGTACTTCAGGATCATCAAGTTCAGGAAGCAGCAGCTCCACATCAGACAGTGGTTCTTCAAGTTCATCTTCAAGTGGGGATAAGAAATTCTCACTATCTGAGCCAGACAAAGCTTTTAGTTGGAGACGTTAAGATAAATTCAATAGATGTTTTATACCTCGGGGTTTTGGGGTTTTGGGGTTTTGGGGTTTTGGGG